AAAAACCCCCCCCCCCCCAGCCGCAAAAGAAGAAGAATCCCTACTCGATAGAGGAGTTGCTCAAGAAGGATGAGAGCAAATCTGCGTCCAGAAGGCCGAGATTACCCAACATCGGCGTGGTCCAACCGTGCGGCATCATCGTAAGCAAGGAAATTTAAAAAATCTTCGATAAATCAATCTTATCCGAAGAGATGGAACGCTGTTGTCGGAGCAAATACATATCGCTTTGCGTTATGTGAAGTATGGACTATATCTAGATTCACCAGCCGTGAATTCTTGCTCGGACGGACATTATACAGTGTGAACGTACATCATTGGCCATAGGTACGTGTGTAGTATTATAACATTATTAACAGGTGTAAAGAAAAATCGTACGATATAAAATTCGATGAAAATTGAACATGGGGGTCGAAGTAACAGAAGATTGGTATCACTATTGCGACACGTGTACTTGAAAGTAATTTCTTTGCACCTGATGAATTGCCCTTGCGGATACAGTGAGAAGTAGCGAATGTCTTAGATGTCTAACGTCTAACTTAGAGTATCGACTAAGGAGTTTGATAGAAGAGTACCGACTAAGGAGTTTGATAGAAAATGGTTTTAGAAGCAAACGGTTTTTGAAGCTTCTTATTCCTCCTTTGAGAGAGATAGAGAGACAAAAAACATGGTTGTTCAGTGAAGTAAAATGAAAAGATAACGCCATATGTAATATTAGAATCGAAAAACTGTAGCGTCGATCATAACTTAGTGAATTATATGTAATCCTTGTGTAAGTTAACTTATAATTAAATTATTTTCATTCCTCCTGTTCCGCGTCGCTAATCTTGATCGCCGTTTCTTGCTGGCGATCGACACACGGCTGTTAACTGCTTCGAGAATCTAAGATTTCGCTTAACTCTGTAATTGCGTGCGGCTAGTTAAGATCGGCGAAAAAAAAAAAAAGAAAAGTGTTTGGAAATCCGGGAGAAGTTTCCAATACTTTCACTGATTTATCTTGAATAGTCGATCGCGAATCACTGGCGGTGAAATATTAATTAACGTTGCCAGTATTTCCGGACGGTAATTACTCTTGCCAATGCTGATGCAAAAAATTCAGCACTTCCAAGCCATCACGTCACGCAATAAAATTCGTACATTCCACCTTTGAGAGTCAAGACATAATTCGTCGACATAACTGTCGAGACAAAGGAAAACGCGCGATATAAAAGTTTCAAACAGCGGAAATGTTTTTTTTTTAATCTAGCTTAGCTCGAGCTGAATCTTGAAACGCGTCTTTGGCAGCCCGCTCGACGGTATCGCTCGGAAAAGAACGTCGAGCAGGCAATTATGCGTCCGTGTCTCCATTGTAGTTCGCACTTTAGAGCCCGGCGCAAAATAACCGCGCGATGCCGTTATACATGGCGCGGAGATCGGGCAATTAAATGAAAGCCTAATAAACGAACGGCTGTAAAGCACGCGGATGGAGACATACACGTAAGAAGCCGCGGTGGCGGCGCAGTAAAGTCATAAACGATTCGGTCGAGGGTGTCATACGTGGACACGCCGTGTGTATACCTTGTAAAATACGACGATACGTTGCTCGCGTAAAAAAAAAGGAATTAAATAACGGTGTTACCGAGCGGCCGGTAGGGCCTCCCCCAACTCCTTCTCCCTCTTCTCTACTCCTTTGCATTTACAACGTTGTAAACCTTTGTATCTCGTTCCTCATCGCGGACTAATTAATGCACTATAAAACTCTAGTACTTTATTGCCGAACGATTTGCTCGTTTTGTTCCCTCACGCCTGCCGATTGCATGCTCGCAGGCTATTTCGGGATGACATCTCGATCTTACAAGAAGCGTGGAAGGAATCTCGATTCTCGCGCTTCCTTTTATTTATGGTTCTTTCTTTGAAAAGATTCCGCCGCAAATCATCCCGAAAAACCGTACATGAAGGGAAACGCAGGGGACACACCCCTGTACTTACACTGGCTGTCTTATAAGCGGAAGCTAATACGCTAACGCTTGAACTTCCCTTTTATTTGCCATACACGGAGATTACTAGATCTTAAGATGAGTGTGGAACACGTTCTGAAAGGAAAAGGCCCGTTACTCGTGTAGGCATTTGCCTGAAATATTTATTTTAGATTTAGACGTTGTAAAATTTTATGAGCATTCCGTGCGTCAAACTATTCGTAATCTAGAAAAAGAGAAAATTAAAATTTGTGTATCTCTTATGGAATGTCAAAGATGATTTTTAGATATCTATTTGCCGCGAGATTTCGATTTCGCTGCACAGAATGCTCATACAGAAATCTGATAATTAGAATAATAGTTCTGTACAATAATAATTGCGCCCGAACAGTCTCGTTGGTCTGTAAACTTCAGAAAATGATCTCTTTAGAATTAGGAAAGAAAAAAATTAAGAAATTAAATCACGATTTAAATCAAATGGCGAAAACGATATTTAATTTAAATCGTGATTTAATTAACGACGTTAAAATAAAAAATGTTGAAAAAATTATGGATTCATTATAGCTCCAAGTTTTTTCGTCGCTGACCTACGGAGACCGTTGCGTAAAATTATGCAAGTTATCAATTAAATAATACTCGTAATATAAACTTATTCTGTATGATATCATTAAATACACTAGTCAAAATGATATATACCATGTTTATCTTGTACGTTTTTATGCCATGTTTCATGCATATACCAAAACGATTACAAAAAAATTACAGCGATACAAGAATAGTCGCGTACCAAAATACGCATCTTAGTCGATGCAGTCATCTTCGACAACTTTTATGTCTGACAGTTTATGAATAATTATTAAATTTTTTTGATATTATGATATTGCACACCACAGAATAGAATCTATTTACATACGAATTATGCTTTTTTATACATCATTCAATCGAAAGTTATAAATTGCGGAGTTGCATTTAATGTTCCATTAATGTTCCATTTAACTAAAATAGTAAACATTTCACAGAATAATAACTTAGTGATAAACAATTTAATTCATAATTATTATTAATACTACATCGTAAAGGCACATCATGGGTACTTAGAGACTTAAATAATTACATAATATGAATATATAAATTCCTCCGATAATACGGCATGGATTATAACATCTATAAAATTTGATAGTTTTCTTTTGAATTATCATTTAACGTACATTACGCAACATGATGTTTAGAGAACTTAATATATAGTATTAAAATAACATTGCTTGATTATAATTTTTTTAATTACATATGTTAATATATAAATACAAGTATGAGATTCTTAAGATAGAATTAAGAGAATATTTAACGGAAAAATATTCCATTTATCTTAATAAAAGGAATTATTTCACAAATTAATTAAATAATATTTAATTTTACGTTTAATAGATTTTTTTGTAATCTTTATTACCTTTGTAGTACTCGTACTAATTGTATATTTGTAAAAGATCAATATTCTAAGGAAGACAGCTCTTTGCGGTACATATTGATAAGATAGACTATACATCACATGGATGTGGAAATGTTCACGGCACAACAAATAATAATATTCAGTCATTAAATGAAGCTGTCAGTCGTATCTGTTTTATACATATAGCTTTATCGTTATGAACAGAAATTCTATTCTTCGAAACTTAATATCGCGAAAGCAATGGCCTAAGCAATTGCGTCCAAATCGCGCACATTCCATCAAAGTTTCATGCTCCGTTTCATCTTATGTACAATATAGCTTTTCCTTCAATTTCGTCAGCTATATACAGATCTATTTAATTCTTTGTATTCGCAGCGATCAGTCGTTTTAGAGCTGAAAGTTGTGCTGCGAATGATTGAGAGTATTTGTAGACATGGTGTGCGCTGGATGTGACGGCGCTGGTGTGTAGAGACTGTGATGCGAATGAGATTTTGCTCTAGAGAGCTCGCTATAACGGTCCTGTTCAGGTGGGGCAACTAGGAGAACAGGTCTCAAAGACAGGGATTTGCGAGAGCCAGCTACGCTTTGAGCTTCGTTCACATAGCCCGGATTTACTTCACCTAAAAATGAAAATTGACATACACTATTTCACATTGAAGATATAAAACGAACACGTATTCACAAATCGCAAAGATTTTAATAAAAATTGAAATGTTTGAGAAATAAGCATTTTTTAAAAATTACTATTAATCACCTTTGTACAAGGATCCATTATTGAAAGGTTCTGGTTGTAGCCTCACATGTCTGGAGGCTAAAATGAAGGCAAGAGCAGACAAAGTAGCTGCATCCAGAGCCGCAATTGCAGCGAGTGGTATTGCCCATCTCACAGCACAGGCACCAGGATTGTATCTGTCAAAAGAATAACTTCCTGAATGATATTTTTCTCACGTTCATTGTTATTGTGATTACGTTTCCAACTTTTAAGGCAATGCTCCTATTATTCATCGCTTCGCAATAATTTGCGTGCGAAAGGCGCGTCTAATTGAGATAATTAGTATTAGATTGTAAAGCTTCTAATAAGATGGACATTTCTTCACTAACTTTTTAAGTAGAATAGACTTTTTTTAAAGAAAGCTTCTTTTTTTAATCATAAATTAACAAAAAAGCACAAAAAGGTTTTTCGTGAATTCGCAAATGTAACTCTACATAAGATAGTAACAAAATTCTACTTATTTGGATACGGTCGAAGTCTCACTACAAATGTTTTAAAGCGTTTGAATAACTAATCAGAAAAAAGAATTTTACTAATTGACCAATCAAAGAATGATTTAAAACATTTGCAGCATCACATTGACTGTGTTCTTTATTAATTGCATAGACCTTATATAGATATGGATTGGCAATTGTTACAATTTCTGCATAAGAAACAGTGTTCAGTGGAGAGAGAAACATTTAGGTACTTCTCTTTTTCAAAGTCCGCAAATATACATTGCGCATGTCAGTTAAACATATAGCGTGTTAACGTTATACATCAAAGTTAAAAATACTATATTATTTACATGAAATTGTAGAAACCCTAATGAAACATATTCAATATATAATATACGTCAAACATGTACGAAACATATTCCTGGAGAGAGAAGTGTAAACGTAATCTTATTTATATTGCCAATTCATAATATATAAGATCTGTGGTTGATTCTATCCTTTCTTAAGAAGCCAAAATCGCAAATGTATAAGTGAAGTCATTCAAAAACATTTTTCATTTAGTTTCTTGTGTGTTGTGTTGTGTGTATTGTTGTGTGTGTGTTGTGTGTTGTGTTTTCATATCTTTTCCGTATACATATGCCCTTTGTACAAATACACACCTGGAAGCAGCTGCGCCGCATACGGCGCGAATCACCGGCGAGTCCCAGCCAAGAGGATAGATGCACACTCCGATCGCCATGCAGATTGCTGGAAAAAGACACCCGAAATATAATTATAGTTACATAACACGATCCATTTACATATCCAAAGACACCGTACTGAAAGCCGCTAGATAGATTATTAATGTTACTCGCGTTGCAACTTGTGTATTAACTTTTTCACTTTCTCGAGATAATTATACGGCGCAAAAGCGTGAAAAAAGTTCTACGATAAAGGCTATATGTTAAGAAATCAATGTTAGGACTTATTACGGCGGCAAAATCTAATACGCTTTAATAATAGAGACTCACTTATGGTTCAATTATTTTCATCTTTATGGTTCTATTATCGCAGTTACATGCAGTAGAGGCGTGCTCTCGCATTTACACGGACGTAATTGTGCAGGTGGCTATGCGGAGGCCGGTAGTGAAAGGGACTTGTGAACAACCGTAACTTTTCTGGGACTCGCTACGTTTACCAGCGAGCCGAGACGATATTGTTTCCCGGCGAACGAGCGATTTTAATGCGCGAATCATGCACAGTAGACGCGCGCTATGATTGTCTTCACAGAGCTCGGTTTCAATAATTTTCTTCGATTTCATTGCACTCCGTATTTCTGTACTTTCCATTTATTATCTATCTCGATAATGAATGAAAACCATTAATTTTCACTTTTACCTTTCATTATCCGCATTTTATAAACTTCTTCTTTTGGTAGTCTTTCATTTGATAATTTGAATCTATTTATTCTTGCTAATTCTGTTTAGCTTTTTAGCCTGTTATACAATATCCTGTGCGTGTTACTTGCTCTTTACACTTTCTAACGATTTTGTAATGCATATCGCAATCTTCCTGTATACTCCAGCTTTAGAGTCTGCTTCAAGTTGACGATAAACGTTACTACATTCTATGTATACAGATAATTTCTATAATCCATGTACTTGTGAAATGTCATTTATATAGTTTCTCATGGTGATACATTTGCCTCTTCATGTTTCACGCTATGTAATGAGCGCAACTTGGCGTATAACTTTCACTGTCGTGACTCGACGGTGCTTACTTGCAACGAATCGCTGACACTGCCGAAACTTTGCTACCAGGCTTGTGTAAGTTACGTTCGTTCGCCAGACGTTCGTTAAATGAAAATTGTACACTCGTCAACTTGTTAGTCAACATCCAGCGCATACCGTACAATTTTCGTGAATAACCGCGTTATTACGCGTTACCGAGAATTTATTCGTGTAAAAAGTGAATGAAGAATTTACTTCATTTGTAATCAGTAAAACGCGGTTCGACAACTTTAACCGACTAAACATGCAAATTAAGCGCATATTTTAGAGATACATACTTATGAATCATGAATATATATCTTATTACGTTTTCGTTAAATAAGTAGACCACCTAGTTGCAAAACTAATTAATTTCGATACAAATTAGCGATCGGAATTAGAATGCAATCTTGTGCAGAGAAATTCTCGGTAGATCAATATTCGGCGAGTCGATATATCGATTCGACCGACGGTTGCAGTTGGTTTACGTTAATCATAGAGGCGTTGACGAACGGTATATGCAGACTGGCTTAGGCACGTTATAACGGTCTATTCCACATTTCGCTGAGCCGCCACACGACTCGTCAGGGACCCACGGGCGACGATCAGCCACGATAACAATTGTAAAAGAACCTTCGAATGCCTAGATGCTGTGAAATACACAGCGCGTGCATTTCGAGATACACCGTGAAGCAGGAAAACACATCGCGTGTTCCAGTGACAAATGAAGTCATTCTCGACAATGTGCTTTAGAAATCACGACCCGGAAATGCTAAATGTTATACATGCATCCGGATAATGCAAAAGCTATCTGGAGAAAGTATCAGTGTGTTTAGCGTGAATGTGTTTTATTCGTTTCTAATTATATTAAGCAGAACACAACAACTGCATTTAAAGGAAGTCTGATTGTAAATCTGGAAGCAAAGTATCAGGCCTGCTTTTTTTTAGCTAAAGTTCTTGTGTGTCACGGTTCATCTTTTCTCTTCTTTCTTCAATTTAGAGACAAAAGAGAGAAAGGTGAACTGTGCAAAAAGTCCAACTAAAATAGAATAGATCTATTATATTGCGCAAGAAGTTCAGTTAAGAGGAATAGATTTATTGTATAGTAACGTTCTTTATTTTTTATTATTCTGAGAAGAAATATTTCAGAGTGCCCTTTTTATAATTTAAGTATGTATTAAAGAGGAAATAATACGTGCATTGAAAAGGAAATAATATGCATAAAACTGCCTAGTAACTCTCCTAACAATTCAGCCAACGTGGACGTCTCCGATGACACGTCATTCATCAATGAAGCAGTTATTCTTGCAATACCATTATTATTATTTCAGCCGTTACGCAAGCAACGTTGGACAATCCTCTGCGATTACTGTGCGCTTTCTAACCGAATAAAAAGATCGATGCGGTATTCACAAATATTCGAGTAACGAGAAATTGCGAATAACTTTTAATTATTTTGGCACACATATTTAACAAGTTTAACGAGATCTCTCCTACGAAATTTTTGCGAAAGTTTTCTCGCAAGCGCGGGACCATGACATGAGAGCAATTTCCGACAGCGACCGACGTCGTTTTAAAATCGTTATCTCCGCAGTCAGAGATGAAACTGATCGATAAAGAGTTCACCACAATAAAGCGCGTTAAACAGGGTGATTACTTCACTTCCCGGCCCCGCGCGAATGGGATCCGGCTCAGCGCATTAGCGTAATTTGCAATTGCATCTCGCTGATAAGGAATTACGATTGAGATTGCGAGTAACGGGCTGCGAGGATCAGCTTGGCTAATGTTGCGCTTTCTAAAGCAGACGCGTCAGTTGTGGAAAGTGTCTCGCGTGCACTTATCATTTGGCACTTAGGCAGATATTCATAATCGATTTTTACATTTAAAATAGTATTAAGTTGTCTGGAGCCAATTAGGGAGCTATATTAGCATCTTAAGATAGTCTTACTTAAGACGGTCTTAAAAACGGACTGTAAATGCCGGATTTAGAGATGCTTTCCGTGAGGCGGGACTGGATAATTACCTGACACCACTTGCATCCAAGCGCACATGTAGAACACGGTAGTGCTTTGACAAAAGAAGAACATGAGCATTGCGCAGATCGCCAGTAGCGCGATTATCACCGCGATGCCGACTAGAATCGTGCTGACTCGGAAAGGAACGTTGGCGATAGTCGACAGGTCGTCCAGCCGGCCGATACATTCCTCGCCTAACTCACCTACGTAATTATGAAACCGTTTGAATTAATAATGTAGCTTAAATAATTATTCCTCAGTCTTGGAATGTGGACTTGTAGTCATTATAAGGAAATACCAAGATTAGTAATTATATGTAAAATGTATGTAAAATGTATTTTTACGTTAAATTATAAACTGGAACTATTTTTATTTGTTATACCAAAGATAAATTAAATTATTTGCTACAACAACGATACAACTCAAAGAAACAAAGAGAGAGAGTTCCACAAAAATAAGTCTAAATATTTTAAATCGTTATAAGATTTGATAATATTAACTTTAAAATATAATTTTGGTATAATAACTAATTAAAGGAATAAAATTGTATGTCCTTTTTTTATTTTTCTATTTTTGCTTTTTTATAAGTAACTAAAAAATGGCAATTTTTTAGAAAACTTTGTTTCCTGAATTATGTGCCTGTTGTAACAAATGAGCGAAATAATTTCAAAATAATGTTTTTATTATTTTTGGTATGGCAATAAAAATAAATTTTTAAGTTGTAACAAATAAGCGATTTGCAGGCAGCCAAACAAATTTTCTTCTTGCTCTCTAAAACTTTTACAGTGAATTTCACTCTAAAAAGTGAAATCTCACTCTTAAAGATTGAAAATTGAGCCACTCCTTTCCAAGACTGGCACAGTTTTTACTCTTTACAGTGGATTCCATTCCAAATAATTTAGAGACAAAAAAATCAAAATAATGTCATATTGACTGAATCATGACAAAAAAATGACATAAATTCGATCGATATGACATTGAATTGACATTATTTTGACTTTCTTGTCCTTCTTGAATAAAAATAAGAATCGCAGTATACAAACGTACCATTTCCACCATAGCTGCACCTGGTCCACAGACCGAATCTTCCGGGATTCTCATGCTCCAAATCGCCGAGCCATTCCGGGGTGACAAACGCAACGACGCCGATAATGGCATAGCATATGGTGAAGATACCCCACAGCACGCCGATCGCTTTGGAATTGCGGATGTAATTAGTCGCATACATGTGCGAGGACTCGACGTATTCGATCTTTGAACCCATTTTGACAATCGTTGATTTCCCGTCAACGCAAACTCGATGTCCCAACCACCGGCACGTCGTTTAACAGTGATTCTTCCTCGCGTAACCGTTCGACCATAACATCGACTCCAGGAATTCCATACGCGGAACGGAGAGGCGACTGTGGAATTATAAACCGTTGATTAAATCGCGGAAGAGACCGAGAGATCCGCGGCGATTCCTCGCGCCGACTCGCGCGGTTATCACACCCGCGGCAGAAGGTCGTCGTTCTTGGAACGTCGTTCTCCACGAAGTCCAATTGTTCGACAACAATGGGATCGCCTTGTGCAAGACACGCGCGTTCGTTCGGAGGTAACTTATCGCACGAACAAAGAATACTTCACGTACTTTCGCTGGCAACACACAACTACGAGGATTCTACGCGATTAAGTCGTTCTCCCTCCGCAGATTGATTTTCTCCAGAATCGGGTAGGAACTTGTTTTTCTTCTTTGTTTCACAATAAATACGGATCTTCTGTTCACTTCCCAGCGTGTTTCTTCATCACCGGTCCCACTAGAATAAACGATCGCACGCTCGTATCCGCGTTAAACCAACGGCTGCGCCGTCCGTGACATTTACGATCTCGCGCGTTCAGGCACGTTCACCAATTGTTAGGTCAGCATCAATAGATACCTTTCTTTCGCTCGAGTGACGTGCCTTGGAACGAAGGACGTGGAATGAGCTGTTGACAAAATAAGGTCTTTTAATTCTGCTGAAATTTACTATACGATCATAATTTTTGGGTGAATATTAAAAAGCTCTAAAAAATAAAAAATTTTCATAGAAAAAAATCTTATACTGCAAACGAAGTCATCAAATATCAGTGAGAAAAATTTTTTAATAAAATATTAGTAAGAAAATAAATCACATTTTGAGTCGAGACTCATATAATCTAGTCAGGATTAAATAACACTTGCTAAGAGATAATTGTTTAATTTGGTTATGATTATATTATCCGGTCATTTCAATCTTGAATAAATTAACATAAGTTTAAATAAAATTTTAAATATTTTTTTTATTAATATTAACAAGAGGCGACAATTATAGTTCTTATTTTGTATTGGGCCATATCTGAACGCGCAAATTTTAAGTGATATTATTCGCCATCTTTAAATGTTTGTAATTTAAATATTATTACACTCATAAAAGAAGTGTTCAATTTTAAGATATTAAAATGTTTTATTCTTGTCTCCGTTTTTAAAACACTTAAAAATGTTTTAGTTTTAAACTTTTTCAATAAACAAAACACTATGTTCGAATTTAAAACATTAAAATATTTAAAATTTAGATCTTTTAAACATTTTAAACACTGAACGTTTTACACTGTATAGTTTCAACATTTTAGTATTACAATTTTTATTTTAAAATAAATAACCTTAGAAATGGTGTTGTTACAATTTTTATGGGACACCCTGTATATGTACGTATGTACACGTATTCAAAATCTAATCTGTTATCTCTAGACCTAAAAAATAAATAATCGCAACTATTGTTCTCTAATGATGATTAATATAGAACGTTTGACTGCGCGTGTGAATTTTCGCCCGGCGGAAAAAACCAACTTACCGTAACGGAGACGGCACTTCCTTGAGAATCTTGGATAAGTTCCAAAGTATACACTAATGACGTCAGCAATGCCAGGACCTTATCGGAATATGCGAAGGGAAAGAAAGCGAGCCAGGTGGAAGGCACGATTATAAAGCGACAAAACGTTACCGGCGCGATCACTGGTGCCTTGCTGCACGTCGCGAGGTTTTGCACATGCAGCTTACGGCACATGCGACGGACCACGGACGGCCGGCTACAAGGATGAGTGGAAAATGCGACTTGGTGGAAAGACGAGGAACGCGATACGGCGGCGCGCTTCAAGATGGCCGTTCAGGTGAGCCAGGTTGCCAGGTGAAGGTGCGAGGAAGGGAAATAGAAAGAGAGAAAGACAGAGAAGGAGTGAGACTCCGGAGAGAGGAGACTGTCGTGAGGGGTCCCCTCATGGACTCCAAGCAGTCCAAGCGGTCGTAAAGAGAAAGGTGACACCAAAAAGGTTGCACGCCGCTGTGTATTGCTCTTTGTCGGATTTCTCCGTCTGAACATAACGGGTTCATTCGTTGGACTTACAAATCTGAACAACTATTTTCTCTAGTTAAAATAAATATATGTACGTATGTATTATACTTAATATTATCTTAATCAATCAATAAAAAATATATTAATAATATATTTTAGATTTTTATAACGAGTCTTCAGAACGAAAGAGAAAATAATTTGACATATCTTCCTTGGAAATTGTATAAACAATATATTGTATATATCGATAAATAAAATTATTTATGCACATATATTGATTATGTATTTGTACATTTATAATGGACTTATTATAATAGATAGTAGAATACAAATGTTTTTCAGAGTTCTGAGAGAAAAACATCAACATTTTTTCATAAAAAAAAAAAATATTAAATCTTTCTTTAATTCAAAACTTTCGTACATAAAATTATCGAATATTTGCAAGTGAAATATTTTAAATAATTACACGTTAATAAAAACATATTTTTTATTCAGTTTCTGCGTTAGATAATTTTTGTGCACTGTTTATTCTCTTTTACCTGATTCGTGCGTCACCCATTGTCAAAAATGATTCAACGCAAAGTTTTTTATTATTCGCGCAAAATACATTTCTGGCGATTTAGCGTCCTCTGGTGACTTCCAACTGAAGATTGATAGCAAGAGTTGAATTAGTAGAATGTAGTTGAATCAGTTGAATTCGAAAATGGCAAACCGCACGGTAAAAGATGCTAAATCTATTCGCGGAACAAATCCACAATACTTGATTGAGAAGATTATCAGATCTCGGATATACGACTCTAAATACTGGAAAGAAGAATGTTTTGCTTTAACAGCCGAACTGTTAGTCGACAAGGCAATGGAGTTGAGGTTAGTAAAAGCAAAATATAACCTCTACACAATGATTTCTTTTGCTAATAATATTATTATTTTTATGTATTTAACAGATAAACTTATAGAAACAAATGTTAATACATGTAAAAAGTGTTTTTTTCTAATTGATTACATTTTTTCTTTTAGGTTTCTAGGAGGAGTTTATGGCGGTAATGTGAAGCCTACTCCTTTTCTTTGCCTCATATTGAAAATGCTCCAAATACAACCTGAGAAGGACATCATAGTTGAATTTATAAAGAACGAAGAGTTTAAATATGTTCGGGCTTTGGGTGCACTGTATATGAGATTAACTGGTTCTTCCCTCGACTGTTATAAATATCTCGAACCATTATTCAATGACAATAGAAAACTTAGAATTCAAAATAAACAGGGTGTATTCGAGCTTGTACACATGGACGAATTCATTGACATTCTTCTCAGGGATGAAAGGTGTTGTGACGTTATTTTACCAAGAATTCAAAAGAGGCACGTTTTAGAGGAAAATAATGAGTTAGGTATGTTAAGTATTTTCTATATATTAATGTTACTTTTATTCCTAGCCATCTTTTTATTATATATTTATTTATCTTATATAGAAGCGAAGATATCAGCATTGGAAGATGATATGGATGATGGTATTGAATCATCAGAGGAAGAAGAGATTCCACCGATTAAGGAATTACCACGTAAGAGACCGGATGATCACGAACGGGAAAGAGATCGTCACAGAGAAAGAGATAAGAGGCATTCTCGAACAGAGAAGAAATCCGATAAGGAGAAGCAAAGATCGAGAAGCAGAGAAAGGGACAGAGATAGAGACAGGAGAGAGCGTAAACGCAGTAAATCGCCAAAATCTCATTCAACATCGCACAAAGATAAGGACAGGGACAGAGATCGTCATAGAAGAGATGATAGAGAGAGGGAGAGAGAACGAGAAAGAGAAAGGGACCGTGATCGTAGAAGAGAACGCGACAGAATTAGACATTAAGATTAAGATTAAAGTGTGACGATATGGAAAATCTTTTGGTCAAATTTTATATGAGAAATGAATTGATAATATTTAACTTTTCTTATGCTCTTATCAATGGCTGCGTTCAGCAGAACGTTTATTTTGCAACTGCTGGAAGTTTTCTTCGCGCTGATTGAGTTATGCTTTTAGATCAAGGAGAATGGTCCTATCTCAGCAAAGAATCATAAAACGGTTGTGTTGTACTGAATACAGCCAATGCTCGTATATTTTTAGCGTCAGTATGTGACAAGAATTCGGTATTAAAACTACAACATGTACCCGGAATCGTATCTGTTGTAACATATTCAAATATATGTACATTTTCACATTATTTGTGTTATATTACAATTACTTTATTAAATAACAAAATAGCGATATCGATTATATACCAATGATTAATAATGGACGAATAATAACTATATTCCTGTCTTTTTTGGAACGTATATGTAATGAAGATGTTTTACTTTGGAATCCTTGATGCTTCTCACACATTTTCGAAATTTGATCGACAAATATTTCTATCAATTTTACATATTATCTTCTCTATGTATTTTGTGAAAACAAAATACTTGGCAATTTAAAACGTAGGAGAGTTTAGAATGAATAATCTCTCTTCTTCCTTTTTTATCCACTTTAATAGCTTGCTCACTGCCTCAATGGCATCTGGTTTCGTGACCAGAGGTTCAAATGTTACATATAATTCAAAACCAGAAGCCACCTAGAAATAATTTTCTTTTAAATTAAAGTAAAATTTGATCTCGCGATCAAATAGATCATATAAATTTTTACTTACCCATGCTAACATCGTCTCCTTATCTAACTGCTGAAATATAAGTTTCAAGGGTCGACTAGGAGAATGTAATCTGTGATGCAAACACTGATAAAGTCCCAATAATCTAAAAAAAATGTATTATTTTTATCACATAGATGTTACATCATTTATTTAAATTAAACAAGGACGAAAAACTCTTAATACACAAAAACAATCGAAATTAGAAAAAGCATGTAAGAAAATTAGAATATCTTAAGATTATTATATTGAATTTTTATATTTGACTCTTACATGCTCTTTCTAATTTCAACCGTTTATTTAAAAAAATCAATTTTTACCGTTCTATCTCGTCATCAGTTGTGTAAGGTGGTTGAACCCCAGGACTCCAGAATTGCGCGGTGCTTTTACATTTGTATAAAACGTGTCGCATCTCGGGTAACCCAATATCAGCAGTCGTTATCGTCGGTTTGTTCATGGACTCATTTATTGCTTCTAGACAATTTGTTCGCCGCAATTTCTCCACAATTTTCTATCAAACATTTAACATCAAATTGACATTCATATAAATGAGAGAGAGATTTCTCAATTTATTTAATCAATTTTATTTTCTCCAATAATCCTTACTTGTTTGGCTTCCGATAGCACGAAAAATACATCCCTATCAACGGTGAGTAGCAGTAAACATGCCTGGCAATCTTCTGCCAGATACGATACGTGACCGTGCATGTATCCGTTGGAATCAAATTTCGGTAGACATATTGGTGTCCAACTCTCAGCAGTTTTGAGCGACTCGGAACTGTCCACCAGATTTTGTATTATGTGTAGATCCATCGGATGCAGGAAAAATTTATTCATTCTAACTAGTGTAACCAACTGATTGTTAGCTAGAAGTATGGCAAATACTAAATTCTGAAAGACAAATTTCTCTTAATAAAGCAACATTTGAATTCATTCCAATTTCACAAATGTTTAGAATATTCCATAAATGCTTTTATACCTTGATCTTAGCACAAGTTTGAATAATGGTCTGTGTAATGGAACTTCTCATAGAAGGAAGTAAGGGCAAACATTTAATGGCTCCTAAAAAGAAAGCGGGCTCTCTGTCCATAAAGTTCAATAAATGATCTATCAGTCTTTCGCTACCACTTAATAACCTTCGTAGATCAAAGTTTCTTCTTTGATCGTATACTCTATTTAACTGAGACTGTGTCAACACAGAGATTATCTGATTATATACATATCTGGAATTAAATATGTATAAGTATCAGATATTTTATTAAAAAGCAAGAATATCATTTTAAGTAACATGTACGTTAATTGTAAAGTGAGCTGAGGTACGCTTTCCAAGGTTTTGGACACTGCTACTAAGATCAGTGGACCCTTCACAACAAAAACAAAGTTTGTGTCACCAGCGTGTACCGATCTAATCATATCGCTCCCAGCTTGAACAAATGACACTAAAGCTTGCATGACTCCCATAACTGTGACTAGTTTGTCTTCCGAACTGTATCTAGAATATATCGGTTTTCCCGCTTGGCTTAAAATAAAAATATGTTTTTTCTGTGCCAGCCACGCTTTGCAACGCAACGGGTCTCCATCTAGATTACTTTGGCCCAAACAATGTGCGACATCATCCTAAAATGTGACAATTCATCCGGTTTAATTTACAATATTGATGTGCATCCCAAATTTATGAAAAAACAGGCGATTCCGCACAAAAAAAGCCTAACCATCTCTGCGTCGTCCACGGAAAGGTTTTTCTCGGATTCTCCCGGATCGGCGGTAGTGGACGTCGTGGAATCGTCTTGCACAACGTCCTCCTGGATGTCGGAGATGGTGCTGGTGATACTGTCCTTCATCTGCCTGTCTTCGTCGATGCTGCCGCTCATCTCCTGCTCGTACTCGTCGAAGCTGTCAGTGGTGACGAGCATTGTCTCCGTAGAGGCGCCGGGCTCGATCCCGGGCTCGGCTATGCCGCTATCGATCGATTCGACAACGATCGGCTCCTTCGCGGCCATCTCTACAACCGAGAACGTCACGAACAAATCGCTATTCTGCGATCCTCGCTAGCGTTTGACATTTAACAGACACAGACTGACGAAGATCAACTGCCATTCCTTCCCATTGCTCGTTAATTCATCGCGGAACTACTAAGTGCGCTGCTGCTTGTTTGTTTATGTGGAGTTCGTTTACTGGCGCCTCTAAAACGTGCATGTTGAACTATGTAGTAACGAATATTTCCGGCGGATAACATATCAATAGTTATAGTTTCATAATATTTTTTAAATATAATTATTTTGTTCTATTATACGATTTAGATTATATTCTACAGAATATGGGTTATAAATATAAATAACTAAAAATTGGAGTAATTAAACCTGAAAAAGACAGCGAAAATATTAAAAATTTTATTAATATATTTTTATATTAATATATTTTTATAAATATTAAATATATTCTCTCAGAACGTGCCCCTATCTTCAATTTCTCATTCGACGCGTTTTTAGCGAAACAAAAAAATCTAAAATTAAAGACGAAGAGCGTCTTTTGAAAAAAACACCATATTTTTAATTAATCTTTTATTAATTTTTACTTATTTTATTTTTTAATATTAAAATATACTAATATGATAAATAATAATAACAATACTTATATTTTAAAATAATTAGACCTAAAATAAAAATAATGGATACAATATCGACGCTCTTCTCACGAATCCCTGAAACTTGGTGAAACGTTTCTCGATACAAAAATCAGATGGCGCGCCGGCGTGACATTGTTTCAAATCGCGCGCGAATTGCAGCCGACACGAACACGAGAACGAGACGACAGGACTGGACGAGACGCGCGACAAGTGTTCGCCGGGTAGCGACGTAGTGTCTGTCTTGCGACGTTTGTTCTATTCGGAATTCACTGTGTAATAACGACGCAGCTCACAGAATGGGTGTCACCGTGTAAGTAGTATTCGCGTCTTTAAACATTCACATGATTCTTCGTCGTACAATCAATCTCGAAAGAGAAATACGTTCATCGCGTCTCTCCGGCAGACGCGCCGAGGTTAGGTTATGTCGCACGCATGCCGCTGCGGGATAAGCGCTAATCGACAACACTCGTCTGAGTTTATAGCAGTGAAAGAATGATTTGCATATCCTGTCGACAGGTTGCAACAGTACCCGATGATCGAGAACCGGACCGGGCCGCAGACCATCGAGTTCCTGACGAAGAGGATCGTCGCTCTCGGCGCGGTGCAGGTGGGGCAGTTCCTGGTGGATTGCGAGACATACATGTCGGTGCCGCAGCTTGGTAAGTGCGTTTTCTGTACGCTATTTTGTATCCGCAAGTTTGACGGATTCGAAACTTTCATGTTCAGGTTTCATGTTCCTGCTCCGGTTGTTGTATCAGCTAGTACGCGACTATTGGCACAGATGGCCGTTGCTTGGCCGTTTAAAGATGCCTTTTGTTATTTGATATTGTTATTTGTGCAATTTTTGTTAACCCTTTGAGTATTGCGCGCCATTATGGACTTTTCTACAAGCGATTTTTTTAAACCTGCGACATACGATGCATATTTTCCTGTTTGCGTTTTAGTAAATATTAGAGATAATTCTGTGTTTTGTGTGGTGCAATTTCAGTAATTTTCTTTAAAAAACACAAGAAATTCAGCAGGAGAAAAAACATCTCATGCCGCAGGTTTTAGACGCGATATTTTCAGTGACTCGCTTGTTTACTTTACATTGAATGATCTGCGTTCAACAGAATGTTTATTTTCTTTTCGCGTTGAGGGAAAAAGAGACAAGATGTGTGAACTGTGTGCAAAAAGTTTAGCTAAAAAGAACAAATCTTTTAAGTATAGAAAGTGTACACCAGTTCAGCTATAAAAAGCAGACTTTATAAAGTTTTTCACAGCAGAGTTATTCGTACAACGAACTTGCTTTCGTAAAAGTACGTGCTCTCGCAAAAAGATAAAATCGATGTTTTCAATCCTGCTTCCAACTTTGAGAAATTGAACACATAAATTTTATTCGATACCTCTAAGAATCGATATTGTGTCAGTTTTCGAATTATTGAAAACTTTTAGAAGACATAAAATAAAACAAGAAATATGTAAGACTCGAAAACGATAAAAAAATAATAATGAACTTTTCGAATTATAAAATTATTAAACGATATTTAAAAAAAAACAATTTAAATAATTTTCTCTTTTTCTTATTTATTCTAGCCATGCAAATATTGATTTTTGTATACAATTTAACGATATTTTTAAAAACACTTTAGATGTCATAAAACTCTTAAAATTTTCACAGAAAAACTTTTCCACTTCCAAATGTGAGAGATTTATTGAATCTTTTCTAGGTTTTGTAGAGTCATTGTTTCAAGAAGTCATTGTTTAAAGAATTTATGAGATTCAGGCAACGAATTAATAAAAACACTTGTTTTTTTCTCATAATTCGTCTTTTCTTTTGGCGTTTATACATTTGTATATAGGTCTCTATACAAACACGCAAGTGTTGGTTCCGCCAGAAGTGTCATTAGCGATTGTATATTCGATACGTTATTTATTATTTCTAGAGAGATGTAAACGCAAACGCTAACAAAAATCACTTAAGTACAATACTTATACGTAACATAAATACACGATATTGCCGAGGGTGTGGATCTACCCTCCTAAAATAAATCGTCGTGTCGGCAAGATCACGTTTGTGCTACCTCATATTATTTTAATTAACGAACGTAATGGCCGGCTTCTGAAATAAATCAAAGAATTCCCGTTACTTGGTGTTTTCGTTACATCGAAGAGAAAGCGTAGGAGAATCGATATTTTCTATATTCGATGATAGAATTCGAGTTCGTATTCGCGAGAAACCGACGCACAGTCTTGTCTCACTTCTTGCACAGAAATCATTCTTATATATTTTATACAATATTATATTCCATCGCGTTATACAAGAGATTGATTTCTCTGTTGCATCGCATTGAAGATGCGACGTTTATAGAGAGTATAATCTAAATATTAACTCTATGAAGGTACAAATACACCAGCTATGTATTCCTAGGCATCATTACAAAAATATTAAATCTAGCAAGCGAAGCTAAACGTGGCTCGTTATAGACAAGATCGGTGTATATGCATATATATTTATTTCTTCTTATTTATTCTGTTCTCTTTCCTCTTTTTCTTTCTCTTTCTCTTTTTCTCTTTCTTTTTCTTCATTGAAAATACGTCTTCATAATTTTTTTTAATATCTGTGATGATATAATATAAGATTTAATCATCTTAGCGACGGCCAGCGCTAATTTCCATTTGAACTATTTATTGTCGATAAATTGTATAGTGAATTTATTGTCGTTAAGTAGAATTATAACGTGATTCTTTCCATAAAGCTTTCTCATCACGTCCGAATAATATAATATATCGCGTGTAATAACATATGTATATAAATTCGAATTCCTAGATTGAATCCCTATTTGCTGTAATCTGATTGCACGCGCTAATTATGCACCTTTAATTCGCTAATGCAGATTAATATCTCAATCTCGAGTTATAGTCTTCGCCAACCTCTAATGTTTGCCATTTTTGTTTCGCATAAAAGGGGAATAAAGGAATAAATCTACATGCGTGGCGTATGTCTAAAAGCTGTCATCGTCACCCGCAATTATACGCACACTCATCCGCGAGTTTTCTTGCACACGAACACATACATATCCGCGTACGCGATATACAGACATTTTATCGGGACTATCGTGATCCTAAACGTGCAGTAATGCGAAATCTTGATCCTGAATTTCACTATTACCGCTATATATTACGATAAATTTTCAATTCACGAGAGTGCACAGTGCAGATTTTTGTTTTATATAGTTTAACATATCTACAAGGGAAAGGAGAGATTTTCTTTTTTTTTTCTTATTACATGGAAGATCTGACGCAAGGTAGTCGCTGTGAATATATAATATGCCACTCGGCAAATAGTAAAGCTCGCTTATTCGGCGCGGTATACTAAGAACGAGATAATCTTATCGAGAACTTTTTTATGGTTTACGTAAAATTCGGAAGTTAATCGTATATCTTATGTACACTCGTTTCACGAGCATTGCACCGCGTTAAAATTAATTATAGACATTACCCAATACTGCATCCAAGCCCTTGAGCATAAAATATACAATGCTTTGAAAATATATATACCACTGTAGAATGACTTTCACTAACTTAAACATTCAAAAATGTGTTACTAATTCAACAAATTATAGTCTCACATTTTAGATAATTGATTATTTCTTGTAGCAAAAATATAATTTGATTACCAACGCTTACACTTAATATAAAAAAAATGAAAAATAATCGTACTAAAATTTTTTCACAATAAAGTATTAATTGGGATACGCTGGTATATATTTTTTCAAGACACTTTATGTAACATATTTAGCAAGATATTTTTGTTGATATAGGAAGGTGCGTGTACTCGCTTCTTGTAGACAGTAATGCCGATACCGAAATATTATTTCTCTTATACGTGATATGTCGTTTTTTGAATTTACGATTTCGACGTTGTCAATATAATTTTCCTCGCGTACCGCATACGCGTAATTTATATTATTATATGTATAAAAAATGGAATGTATTTTTTACGAATCAATATATAGTTTTGCGCAAACGCAGATTTTTCTCTCCCTCGCATCGCATCGATCGATCACTGTCTACAGAAACACGCGGAAATATTTAAGTACAGGAATTTAATGTGCTTCCGCGACTTTCATACACTTCGTTACGTATAGGATATGGCAGGGATATGACTCACGGGTTCGATAGATAATTACAGATGTGATAGTTTCTGTTTGCGCGACCCACGCGACGAAAAATTTCCTCCTCGTATCGTATTTGTCTCTCAAATTAAATTCTTTATATTACGTTCGGCATTTTGTTTTTCGTTGATATTATATATATATAGTTTCGATAGATATTTTAAGGAATTTTTTTTTCCCGCGTGGATTATCACAGATATACAAGCTGTGATCCGCAAAGTGTAGTCAACTTCTAACAAATACTTTGTCATGTGAATCGCTCTCTCTCTCTCTCTCTCTCTCTCTCTCTCTCTCTCTCTCTCTCTCAACGTTATTCTACAAACTATATAAAAATATAAAATACGTACATCATTATGGAGACTTTCGTCTAATCGCGACTCCGCCATTCGAATGGCTACATTATTGAGAAATGCAGGAAATCGTCGAAAGCAGAAGACTTAGATAAATAATCAAGATTAGTTATACAGATGAGAGATTCATCCTCGATCCCGATATTTAGTGTTAGGTATAGCTGCTTTCAACATTACACGTAGTACATATGCATTAATATTTTCATAAAGCTAATAGTACCGAATTTCGCTCTACCGGCTTCGCGAAATTAGTAATTTGTGGTATTGTCGGGAATTTGTTTATCGGCTATATCGCATCGTATCGTCACTAATTGCGTAAGTTCCACGAATACGATAGAGATATATATGTATATAATATACAATAACCAATGTACACAATACGCATCTTATATGAAACATATGTAGATATATCTACAAATCGATATTGTCATAGTTAAGTCAATGATGCCTGTGCTATGCAGCGAGGCTTCGTTATCCTGAAGTTAGCAAAAGGTATTTTGCTTACGTCCGCGAAAGTATACTCTATATATTGTCGTAAACTTGTTTCATAACGCGAATGCCCCTGCAGCACATTAGCTGTAAAAAACATCGTTTTTAGCGTTGGTAATTGTCTTTTACCTTTTCTCTCGAGGCTTATCGCGATATTCTCGAAAGAAATGGTGCTCGAACACCATTAACGGCTGAAAATATAGCTGCAGAAATTATTGCAACTCATTGCATATACTACTTTACAGAAAGACTAGCTTGGCAGTCTACGAGCAGTCTATCGAGCCTATTCTAAGGACTCTGTTAATTTTTAATTGTTTACTTGTGGTATACACATTTTTTTCGCGTAAAATATTGTCGCGCTTTTTTCTTTGAAAAGTACGGTATGATAGCATTGCCTCTTGACTTGAGTAAGCCTTGAATATTAAAAACTTATTAGTAAAGAATATAATTCAATTTGAGGAAAACCGTATTTCCGGAAATTAATATAAAGTTGCAGATAATACGATAAGCATAAAATAGTTACACGGTGCGATTTTACGTAGATCTAATCTGATGCTAGTATTTATTTAGATATTATTTGGTATGGTTTTTGATCATTTTTTACAATTATCCTTTATATCTTCAAAAACATCTCAATGAGATACGATAGTTAGTGTGGAATGAGCATAACAATTTATGTCGTTTACTAAAAAAAATTTAATCTAGCTCTGTAAGATGATTTCTGAAAGGAAAAAAAGTGATATCACGTTTTTTTTGGAGCAGAAGTTACTATACATAAGAAGTTACTATTTAAAGCTCGATGATATAATTTCATTATCAGTCGAGAAACGATTTAATTATTAAAGCCAGACGTGAAGGCAATTTGTGATTCGGTTACTCGGTTATTTTTTTTTTTTATACAGATCTGTTTTTTCCTCACGCAAGTATCCTCTTTACATCCTGATAAAGATATGTTATCATTAAGAAGATATGAATTTGAAGGGATTTTTTTTCTGTAGTACGATCTACTGCTGATAAATTTTGTAATTATCAGTTCAACACAAAACCCTATGCCATTTTATCGAGTAGAAAATACTTCCGCTCGTTAAATGCATCCGGAACAAAAGATTCGAAACGACCAATCGGCCATATGCGCATTTCTGCTTGAGATCGTGAGCCATGGGTATCGATGGACGGTCTATCGATGAGAGAACCCCCGACCGCTCGTTTGTATCGCTTTTCTTTTTAGATCATAAGTAGCACGTCTTATAGTAGATAAAGGCGACCGTATCCTTGCCGAATGTTCTACATTCTCTCTCATAGTGTACTTGACCTGGTCCATATCTATTGCCTCGCGGATACTTATCTAATCTCGACAGGCTTCTGCAGAGTTTGAGATAATCGTCGTCGAAGGGTGATTCGCCCTCCTTTCGACGATACCTGTTACGTCGACGATAATTGTCGTCGAGTCTCCCCTCTCGAGTATCGTTCCCACCGCGAGCGGATGGGAGGAGATACGCGACGTCATCGAGTTCCAAATCCGTTAGATCCTGCAGACTCTTCGGATACGTGCGCCGTCGTTCTCCCTCCGGGGAGTCGCGTGCTTGATCCTTAAAGTTGATGGTCCTGCTGCGCCGCGGTAGGGTCGAGTAATACGGCCTCTCGTCTCCACCATGATTGATGCCGTTTCTTAGAATCGGCTTGGAGACATACAGACCTCCCCTCGCGAGGTCCAAGTCTCGTCTCCAGGTGTCCGCCGCGTCGTAATCCGTTTCTGCGTACTCGCGCCTGTTGGCACGACGGGGCTCCGTCGCGTTGAAACGACGAACGTAACTCGCGTCTGCTCGCATTGGGTCCCGGGGATAAGTGCTGTTGGAGTACGCCACGCGTTTCTTCTGACCGCCGTTCCTCCGTAGCCGCTCGTAATCGAGACTCTCGTGCTGGCGACGACGGGTCTCGCTCGTTTCTCGATCAACCCTCGACGGAGGGTTATTCCTGATCACGTCGCCGTTAATCCCGAGCGTGTCGCGACACGGCGTTTCGTCGACCGAGCGACGAATCGGTAGCAAACCGCGAGACTGCATAAAGCTCTCCACGTTTCTACCGATTCTATTGGTCTTCTCGGCGAAGATACCGCAGTAATCCGACAATTTGCGGTGAGCGACGCGCGCAGACGGCATCGCGATGCTGGAAGTCGCTATTGACGGATCGTTGCGGTAGAGATCCCGCGGATCGTGCTCGTTCGGATAAGCACCACCCGGTAAAGGCTTGTTCGCCTTCTCTAAGTTCGAGAGACCCCCCGTCAGCGAGGCCTTATACTACCGTGCTTGCGCATAATCCGGATTCATCTCGTCCAGCTGCTTGCCCTTCGTCTCAGGCACGCAGCAGACTACGAAGCACAATCCGCAGACCGCCACGGCGGCGTAAAACCAAAAGGCTCCATGTAGACCGAGACTCTAAAAAGAGAACAAGTTCTCACAACTTCAGTTATTAATTGCATGATTACAAAAGTTCGTCGTTGATTAATTGTAGAGAATAATATTGTATGAATAAAATGTAATATCTGGGCAAATTACTTCAGCAAAATAATGTTACTTAAAACGCCATGTTCCTCCTTATGAATTTTCTCGTTTAAAATCTTACCTCGAAGAATCTTGAACTTAGTTTCTAACTTAGTCTTTACAGTCTAAGTAACTTGTTAATATCTTAAAAAGAAAATGAAAACCTCCTCACCTGCTGGAAGTCCATAAAGAGCTTGATCCCGAAAAACGCGCAAAAGTAGCTAAAGCTCGTGCTAATGCTGGAGCCGAGGCCGCGGTACTCCAGCGGAAACAGTTCGCCAATCAATAGCCAAGAAATTGGCGATATGCCCAGGGCGAGGGCAGTCGTGAACACGAGTACGCAGAGTAGCGGTATCCAGTCGTGCTGGCCCACCACCGCCGAGTCCACGTAGCCAAGATTTTGCGTTTGAGACACGTAATACGCGTAGCTACCGAAACCGGCGAGCGCCAGTGACATGAAAACGGTGCTGGCTATCAAAAGCGGTAGTCTGCCGACTATGTCAATCAAAAATCCTGCGAGTGATATAAATTCGGTTAAGTGTGATTAACGCAAATATCTCTAATAAGAAAGAGAATAATTTATTTTATTCACATTATAATCTTATTAATTATGGAATTTAATTTTATCGGTTATTACCGATATTGTTTGAAATTGTTTGATGTACCTGACAGTAAAGAAGCCAATAGCTGTACAAATCCGATCGCTATGGTCGCTCCGTGAGGATTCATTCCACCTAGGGTCTGACGAAAAATAAGTACCGCGTAATAATTAAACGCATTCGCGCCGGAGAATCGTTGGAAGAACATCAGACCGCATGTGATAGCGATGGGTTTGTATAGTCTCGGTGTAAACATGCTGTTCTTAAAACTTAGCTCATACTGCTTAGCCCTCGAAGCCAGAATATTCGTTTTGATGACCTGAAGGCATATCGTTAATTGCAAATTTATATCGAACCTCGTTTGCGATTGATGCTCGTTGATTTGCGTCGAGAGAGATATGAGAAGACAGCCGCTCTATTCACTGTTAGATTATCAAAGGAGTAATAGTAACCCAGTCCCTTTTGCTATTTTTATAATAACTGTCGTATACATCAAAATGTAAATCAATCTGGTTAGTTTCGACGCAAACAACATTTATATTAACGTATTCACTTGATAAATAATAAATTAATAATGAGTCGAGCTTAATACATTTGAGTCGAATTTAATTTTCTTGGGTTAAATTATTTAACTCTCTTCTCTCTCTCTCTTCTCTTCTCTCC